ATTGATGCAGGCAACGAATGGATTTTAAAAGGAAGGTCGTGGTTAAGTCAGTGGGAAAGGCTGGTCACACCCGACCTAGCACAGCTCCATCAGCATTACAGGGAAGTGTGCACAGTGCCCGAGAGGCGCTCATGCTGAAAGCGAACCACCCCCTGCACCGCGGTGGGCCGGCCCGGCACCAAGTCTGCTCGGGTGCCCAGCCTCCGGGTGACATCATCTCTCATGTGAGCTGGCCCCTCGGGCTTTGAACAGCTAGGGACAGAAGATGAGGCCGCTTACCCAGAACAGTGTTTTGGTGCGTGTGGCATGCACACTTCACAGCTCGGAGCCACATCGCATTTGCTGGGGATGTCTCCCCTTTGACTTGTCATCCCCAGAAACTACTTTTAACTTTTTTTTTTTTTTTAAGATTTATTTATTGGGGCCAGCAGGTGGCATAGAGGTTAAGGGTGCTGGACTCCCACATGGCCAACCGTGGTTCGAGTCCCTGACCCGACAGCTTCCTTTCTCATGATCCTTTGCTCTCTTTCTCTCCCCCCACCCCCGGAAAAATTAAAATACGTAAGTAAATAAATAAATAAATCTTTTTAAAAAAATTTAAAAGATTTATTTATTTCTATTTGTTATTTATTTTTAAATTTTTGACCAGACGTAGAGAGAGAAAGGAAAGTGAGAAAGGGTGACCAAGCCACCAGGTCTAGGACTCAAACCGTGGTCAGCCATGTGGGAGTCCAGCACCTTTAACCACCACGCCACCTTCTGGCCCCTTAACTGGTTTTTAATAGACAAGAAAAAAAGAGCAGCCATCTTGCTAAAGGCATTCTTGCTTGGTTAAATGGGCCAGAGTCATCCTCATGACAAATACCATATTGCACGTGTCATCACCCAGCGCCAGGATGACCAGGTGGGTGCCTGCTGCCCACAGGTGCTGTCGCTCTCTCCATTCTCCCTCCCCACGCAGGGCCCTATGCGTAGCTGTCGTGTTGTCACAGAGCAGCCGAGTCTAGTTTTACCATGGAACAAAGGTTATCCCTGTTCGTCCCATAGTCAGCCCGTTCGCAGACACCACGGCAAGTTCAGTGGGTCGATTGCACAGTGGTAGCGAGCGTTACGCGTTTTCCATCTGTAGCGTCAGTGTCTTTCTCCACCGCTGACATGAAGTGGCTTTGCCAAGTACCTGTGAATTACGAGCAATCAAAGCCTATCCCTTTACAAGCTGGTTTGACCGAGCCGTTCTTTGAGCCAGTGGAAGTGGCAGACATAGCCATGCACCCTTTCCCCTGTAGTGGCAATAGTGTGTGCGTGCAGCGTTGTCACTGGGGCAGCCCACTGCCCTCCACATGGGGACCATCCTGGGTACAAGTCAGTGACGGCAGCAGGAGTCGTGGCACCCACCAGGCCACGTGTCAGCTAGTGGCTCGAGAACCTGCCTGGGATTTCAGAACCCAAATGAGCCTCCTCACTCCTCACAAAAGCCTGCCACTCACTTCTGCTGTGTGTAAAGGTATTTTTGCATAGATTTCCAAAATTTTGTGTCTCATAAATTCATACTTGAATTCCTTTTTTCCATAGAATTCTTGAAGTTCTGTCATTAGGTGTTCTCCAGTTTTGCTAGTGCCCTGTGCTGATTTTACAGAATTTACACCTATGTCAGAGTTTGGGTTTTAGGTTGATTTCTAAGTTGTTGATCACTGCTTAAGGGTATCCATTTCTCCACCTTAGAAATGTGGTTTCTCAGTTCATCTATTTTTTGTATCTAGTTTTTATTTTAATCTTTTACAAATTAATTTATTTAACTTTATTTATTTACTTTTAATTTAACCAAAGGGACGGAGTGAAAGAGAGAGAGAGTGGGAGAAAGCCAGCCACCAGGTCCAGGGCTCAAACCGCAGTCGGCCATGTATGAGTCCAGCACCCTCAACCACACCACCTGCCGGCCCGGCCCCTATGTGTCTAGTCTTATAAAAGAAATGCTACAGGACAGTCATTTCTGGCCATTCTTGTGTCGATATTAGCACTCTCTGAACCTGGGGGAAACTGACATTACCCTAGGAAACACAGTGCAGCTCTGTGATAGGACCGTGTGACCGTGGCTCACGCCCATTCTGGGGCCAGCACCACTAATCATGCCAGGAAACATCCATGTGCCTGTCCTGCCGAGGTCGGGTGGGGAAGGGCTCCTGAGGTGTGCCTGGCTGGGCCATGGCGTGCAAGGCCGGCATGGCGCAGCCCTCCTCTGACCTGCGGAACCTGCTCGCGGGTGCCCTGCTGGGCGTAGGAGGCTGAGTCGCAGCCGGCGGGGAGACATGGCCAGGAGTGACCGGGCACAGCGTTCCAGAGCCTAAAGCTACATAGCGACCTGACGATCTACCATAGAACACTTAGAAATAAATGCTGGGCTGCTTCCAATCACTTCGCAGACACAGGCAAGCATTGCTTTTAATAAAATGGTCAGTGAGTCCCAGACTTCACGATCAACTCTGAACCTAACAGCGAGATTGAGGGAGACCCCCCCTGAGGTGATTTCTCTGTCAGGCTGCACAGAAGCATGTAGACAGTTTGAAACGGGCTGATGTAGGGGAGAGAGATCTCTACACAGCAAATTCACGTAAACCCGAAGGCCCTGAGGGCTTGACCCAAGCCTATTTGGGAGCACCACAGCGTCCCGAGAGTGGCCGCCTTCCAGCCGGGACAGGACGTAAGCACCAGTACCAGATGCCAGCCAGAGGACCAGCAGGACTGTGCGGCTGGAACGGTCTGTGTGTCTGGGCGCCTGTCCTTCGCCCCTCAGGAGCGGCGTTGCCCATGGCCACAGTGGCCCTTTCTTTTGTGCTGGTGGTGACCACTGAGGCTGGCTCGTGCAAGCTGGAAAAGACTAGCCAAGAGTGAGACTCTCCTGTGCGTGTGGGTGCTTAGCCTAGTGCTGCTTGCATAAACTTTGCTCCCTGGCACAGGTATCATAAACTTACAGAATGTAGCAAAGGCAGAGGTAGTGCGAGTTCGGCAGGAGACAGACAGAGCTCACATTCCTTGGCTTTGTCCAAACTGGGCTTGGGAAGCCTCTGTCGGGGCAGATGGGACATGTATATTGCTTCTCTTAAGTCTCATCTATAGCACAGGCTAGAGAGCATTGTCCCTCCTTCGCAGCTCCCTGTCCCTGGAAGCTGGTCATCCGTTGGTAAAAATGACATCAGGGAACAGTCACCTGCAGATGGTGTGAGTCCACAGGGTATGCTTACAGCTCACTGTCTTCACACTAACTCCAGGAATAGTCCACTGACCTGTCTAGCCAGGAGTATTTCTATTTTAAACAACAAGTAATAGTTATTAAAAGAGGAGGGATCTGGGACCAGCAGAAGGCATAGCAGTTATAGTGCTGGATTCCCATATGGCCGACCACAGTTCGAGTCCCGGACCCAGTGGCTTCAAAGTCATGCCGGGCACAAGTAGAAGGGGCATCTGAGTGAACTGTGCTTTCTGTGGATATGGGATTTCTCTTGGGTTTGGACTTGGTTGGTTTATATTGGCTTTCCTGTGTTTTGAGGGGCTTGGCAAGCCCACTTGGAATATTTATTCTTGCCACAGCTACAAGTCATGCTCGGTCCCTCCATACACCAGCAGCCAACCAAACGATTTAAGTTTTTTGCTATGGGACGTGCTCTCTGACCAGAGAGAGAGAGAAAGTGAGAGCTCCACGCCCCTGGGAGGATGGGGGATGGCCATGCTGCAGTCCCTTCTCTTCGTTCTATTGGGACTCAGGGCGCGCGCACACACGTGCCCATCACATTTTCCAAGCTGCCAAGTCAAGGACTCGAACTCGGCCATGTGGGATCCAGCAACCTTAACCACCATGCCACTGGCTGACCTGAAAGATTCTTTCAATACTTTCATTTAATTTTTATCTGCAGAAAATATTTGCTTTGCATCAAAATTATCCAGTGTGTCTCCATTTATAGCATCTGTTGTCAAGCCTTTAAAGTGTCAGATGATACACACTTGGGGACATTTTTTTAAAATTTTGCCATAAGACATGTGCACCTGCCAGAGAAAGAGAGACAGGCAGGGGAAGAGCACCCCCATGGGGCTTGGCAAAGAGCACCCTCATGGGGCTTGGCCACTCTGTAGTCCCTTCTCTCCATCTCTCCCTTCTCAGAATTCTGGGGGTGTGTGCGTATGCACACATGCCCCTGGTGTTCAGACTGTCAGCTTTGGGGCTCGAACTGCAGTTCAGTTCCGTTGGTATCCAGCCCTGTGGAATCAGCTGTCTTAACCACCAGGCCATGCTGGCCCACACTTGCTGATTTTTATTTTAAAGTAAATTGTACTTTTGCCAGAGATGAACTTAAAATGGAAATACTGTTTTTTCAATTTTTGAATAAGCATTGTTCTTCCATTCATTCCTAAGATTTTGAAACATGATGTTTATAAATCATTGCTTTCTACATAAAAAATACTCTGGATATTTCTGCTGCTTTTTAACAAGAATTAAAAACAATTTATAGGGCCAACTGGTGACTTGGCCGTTAAGGCAGCTGTTTGCACCATTGGAGTCCTGGGCATGACAGCTTGAGAGACACGCCTGGCGCGTGTGCACGTGTGCCCTGACTCCAAAAGGGGGGCGAGATGGAGCAGGAAGACCTGCGGCATGACCGTGTCCCATTGGGTGCTTTCTCACTCCCCCCCAACTCTGTCCCTCAAGTGCACACCCTCTGGCAAATTAAGAAACAAAATACAAAAGGAAAATAAGACTCTCTAAAAGCTAACTGTGGTTACCGTAATCTCATCATTTACTCCTAGTTTTGACTTAGTTCAGTACTTTGAAAGAATTAGAAGTGTAGAACTGACAGATGCAGTCCAGGAAAGTTCACTGTTTAATCGCCTACAATAAACCAGCACTTTTACACTTGGTTGGTCTTTAGCAACACCTAACTTACTTCAGCTGCCAACACAGCCATAACTTTACCAGCCGAGCTCATCTCCGTTATTTCACTCTGTCCCTTCCCGACACGCATGACGATCCCGTGTGACCACAGATGACGTAGCTAGCTCTGCTGGGGGTGCCGAGAGGGCGCACCCCTGGTACTGCCAGTGTGCGTACCCTGTTGCTCAGCACAGAGCTTGTCCCTGAAATGGGCCCTAGGTGACTGTCGTCATTCAGCAGAGGGGCACGGGGAGCTCCTTCCATGCTATTCTTAGTCAGACCGTTAAGGTCTCTCACTGAGGCTGCGATGCCCCCACCTGAGCCCGTCATTTAAGATCTGCATCAGCACCTTGCAGTTTGCACCATGGCCTTTCTCATGTGCGGCCATGTACCCTGAAACACACTCGTCCTGCCGTAAAGAGCGCACCTGTGAAAACGAGCTGGTGCGAGCCATCGGTGTGGCCGTCAGTGGTGCCAGGCAAGCTTTTGGTGGGCTTCGAGTTGATCTGAAAAACGAAGTTTGCAGATGCAACTTTGCTCGTACTGAAGCATCGACAGCACGAGGGGGTCCTCGCGGCCACTGGCCCCGTGCCACTCCTGTGCCTGTAGCGGGAAGTGCCACACAGCCTCCCAGAGTCACCATGTCCTCTCACTGGGCTTCCCTCGGGGCCAGTCTCGGCCAGTCCCTGCACCCCTGATCTGGACACTGTTGCAGCAGGACCGAACAAAGGGGGCAGAGACCCTGCGAGGGCAGCCGGTGCCTGCTGCGCCCACCCCAACCCTAATCCTCACTTCACTTTTGGCTTTAAATACCGACAGGTCAGGTCTTCAGCTGTCCTCTCACTGGTAGCTTTCCTGCTGTGCCGTTAACATGCCACCTTCTCCTCCTTGCCCAGAGAAGCTGACCTTGTCTGTGGTGGGCAGAGAGAAGCGAGGGGCCCGGCCACATGGGCGATCCGGGTCTGCCCTGCCACGCCGGACTCATCCGTGATCCTGGCCCGCTAGGCGACTGGGGACAAGACCTGGGGCAAGGGTGCATGTGTGCATTGGTGTGTGTGCGTCCCACTCATGAAACTAAAAAAAGAAAAAAGATAACCAAGAATAATTTTTCAATATATACAAGTTTACAGCTTACAAGTTTCTCTTACAAAAGAATAATGCCACAAAATCTCATTTAGATCATTACATATAACAGCAGAAGTAAGCTACTTCTTAAATGTTGTTTTAAACTATTTAAAACCCTGTCGTGTTGCAAATACTGTGAATCGAGTATCTTTGTTGTGTCATGGACTGTTAGTCATCAGGAGTGAGGAGATTGCAGCTATCCAGAAGCAAGACAGAGCTGACTAGATTTAACACTCTTGCCTCCTTTTAACTTCCTACTAAATGCTATGGGAAGGGTAGGTTATCTTGAAACTATTTTGAAAATCAATCCAGAAATCGACATTGAAATTGAACACCGAGTTACAGTGCCACTGTGTTTCACTCGTCGTTTTCTCTCCCTTAACACCCTCCCAGTTTCATCAGGCTGGGGAGAGATGCCTAGTGTTCACGCGAAGGCTGACCACTCTTGGGGAGAGCCCTCGTCCCCTTCCCCGCTGGTGGACAACGGTACAGCAGCATGGGGGAAGCCGCCCAGCAGTGGCAGCGGGTGGGGAGAGCAACCTGCCGAGCCAG